ACCTATATATGTACGTAGATACCTGTATAAAGAAACGTGATAATAGTTCGACCGAATGGAAAATGATTTCACGCGCCTCCCGGCGCTTTGGCTCTGGTGAATTTAGATGACGAGCCGAGATATACCCGGAGATACATTTCTTAGGACACGGGGCACCTGCTACGATTTAAAACTCCCGCTGAGCGAGATCCCGGTCTAAGTCAAGGGGGTATTTGGAGACGTTGTTAAAGGAATGACACGAAGTTAGCCGCTATGTAATTTCATGTAGTGGCAATATTTTTCTTGATTCTTACGTAAGGCTTGCGCGTGCATTATTTTACGATTGCGTAACCGAGTCACGTGGTAATCAGTACTCGAGTGTCCATGACGTAAAGAGGGTAATCACCGATCGGTCCATTTGATTTTGATCTGTGACGTATTTTTTTTTTTTGAAAAATCAAAATCAACAAAAATTTTTTCTACGTGGGAAAAATGATGGACATATGAAAAAAATTTATTTTCACTATTTCGTCAATGATCCGCCTTTGGATACATTGATTTTCAGAGTCTATTAACGTCATTGGGATGCTGGAATGTCGTTACTCCAACTGCTGGAGATTTTTCTCAGCATCGTTACAGCTTTCGTTTACAACGTAACTGTCAGGTTGCACAGTTGGTAGCTCTTGGTGTAGCGATGGCGTCTGTCATCCACTTGTGTTCCGTACAAGCTCTTGTGTCTTGTCGACGTGTCACGCACCTGTATTGCCTTAGGTATAATGAAATTCACGAATCCGTATTTACGCTATCTTGCTTATATATATATACATCCGTTTAACTTGATAATATGGATTTACAAGGAAACGAATCTGACACGTATACCAACTGTAAGAATTTTGAGCATAGCGAAAGCTTGCATTCCAGTGCGATTTCACTTGCGGTAATGAAACTCATTCTATTAAATGAAACGCAGGTGAAAAAGTAATTTGTGTAAATTTCGATCGTTTGGTTGCGAAACCGTTTTGACATACCGATGTATACGTGTATGTTAGAAATTTAGAAATTGATAAAAATAACAAAATATTTGCTATCCAGGAAAGCAAGGGAGCGTCATTGCGAATTGAAGATCATTGAGTCATCCGGTTGGATGGCTGAAAGTATCCAGCTGTGGATAAAGATCGGTATACGTATTGTGGCGCATCCGTTTTATTCAGCAGGGAAGGATCGTTCGCTTGAAAATTCTGCGTAATGCATACCCGTGTGCATTTGCTTTATTATACGTTGTGCATAGGGTTGAATGTATATAGGGTATACGTATATAACTAGATAACGGTATAAGTACGATGAAACTTTACGGCTGGCAGAATATTATATAGCAATGATACGCGAATCAAAGCGAGACAGAAATTATGCACTTCCGTGTGGAACGATTAGAAATTTCATCGCCCCGTCAATCCTTAATCGGATTTATTTACAATTTTACGATTAATTATATAGCAGCAAACCAATTCCTGCAACATGCCCGATGCATTAGAAAACGTTGAATAACCGCGGGGCGTACAGTCGGGTGATCGGTCGGGTGTCGGACAACAGTTAAGCCGTAAGGACTATTGGAATTGAATCATCAAATTGAGTCATGCGATACTGGTATATTAATGACGATTTTCCATTACCATTATCATTTCCCTGAAACAACAGGATACCAAGCTCACTGATAAATAATTGTTTAGTGATAAAAAACAATTACACAATTTTGAGAAATAAATTTTGAAAAAATATAATTTTTCCAATTTTACAAAAATTCCTAAATTTTTGTCAGATTAACTCGTGTCGCCGCTCAAACAGCCTTTCGCGTTACTTTATTACAGGACAACACTATACACAGGACAGCACGGCGACCCGTGACATTTAAATAATTCGCCCGTAGGTCGGGTGAGCGTATCTCGAGCGCTGTATCTCGATGCCGAAGCTGGTCCATGGCCGTCTCGGGTGAGTCTGTAGCAGCAGGGTAGGTAACTGTCGGCTGCCGAGCACAAAATGAAAGAGTCGGCCGGCGCTGTGTTCCACACACAGCGTGCACCACTTCTTACTCTCCTGGACTTCTTGCGCAAACTTACCTCGACTACCGTACAGGCAGCTTCAGCTTGAGAAGGAAGCGATCCGATCTTGAGAATCTCGGCCAATACGCATTTCGTATTGAGTCTCTAGGTTTCGCGACTCGATATATACATATATAATAAATATATAGAGCCAGTAATTTCATACCATTGCATAAGTTTTATCCCGGTATAAATAACCCAGCACCGAAGTACCCGTCCTATCTTCACATACTGTAGATAGAGACGATCGTGTTACTGAAAGTGGAGTAGACACCCAATAACATACCGTAGAATTTTGCACTCGTCGAAATGTTGCCATCGAATTTTTAGTGAAATTTTCAAAATTTCATATTTTCATGTACCCGTCGGTAAGGCAGATTCACCTGTCGGTGTAGGTAAACACACGTCGCCGGTCTAATTTGTATCTTGAAACGACGTGTAGCCAGAGACAGTGTATGCGTTCGGGTTAGAGACAGACGGAACTAGTCAGGTTTCTATCAAAGATGGCTGCGTAAGGAGAAAAAAAAGTTGTCGGAGTACGAAGTAGAGGCGTTAGGGTGTGTGCACAACGGCACAGAAGCTACGACGTGCCGAATACGCAAAACCTTGGCCCGAATTAATGTATATCTCACGCATGGATTATATTCATCGATACGGCAGTGGCATAGTCGAATTATACAGGGTGTTCCTTTTATTTACACCCCATGGAATCTTAGTCACAGCCATAACAACGTCGTAATTATACACTGACGTATTTTTCTGTCGCAATGACACTTCACGAAGGAGCCAGTATACACGAAAGCGTCTACTGTCCTCGTGGAGTCTTTTCAATCGGATTCGAAGTAACGCAACCGGTTTCGTAATCGAATAATGCTAGTAATTATCACTGGTACTAAGAACAGTAAGAAAGGGAGAGAGAGAGAGAGAGAGATAAAATAAAGTAGAAATAGAAGACACTATACATATACATGGCAAAGATTGAAAAAGATTCTACGACTCTTTATGTACTGTATAATCGACTTTTAGCTTTTAAAAAAAAAAAAAAATATAAAACCAGATGAAATACGTATACGTCGATATAAGATTTTACGATCTGACAGAAGTCAATGTTTTTCATGATTTTTCATAAATCCTTAAATCCTTTGACGAATTCCAAAAAGAAAAAATACTGAATGATTTTGATATAGTAATGTCACATGTAAATTTACATAACCTCGAGATGTTTATGTTGAATTTACAAAGTTTCTCTCTCTTTCCCTCTCACTGATTGTCAACGCAAAACGTATTTATCATGAATTGTCATGTTCCACTTTCCAATGACACTCCCAGGACAAATTATACCCGGCTGCACGTTCCTCATTGATTTCAGCGGGTGGTTGGCTATAAGCTGAGAAAAAAATAGCGTAGGGACTGAAACAAGCTGTAGGTTCATAAGGACTCGAAATAAGCGTACGAAATATATATATATGTATATTGCATAACGCTGAAGATGCAATTTGTAATCAGGAATCATTTTCTACGAATCATCCACGCATGGTTAATCGCATTGAAACGAGACTGTCATTTGTCCGGACATAAAATGCGAATATTACGCTATTAATAAAGCGACTACCGTAAATGAAATATTTCAAACAAGATGTCGCGATATGGCGAACAGGAGTTGCTCGTATAAAACCTGTCCCCGTGAAAAATTCAATGGCGCGCTCTTCATTTTTATACACGCTGCAATTGCTTCTCCACAAATTACTCGGCGTTCGACAGTCGTTTTATAGCGAGAACTAAACTGTTCGACTAACGATGCTGTGTGTGTATTATTGTATATATATTTTCTTTAAACTTTTTTTTAAATACCGGAATTCTACTAGCATATCCTTCCAAGGTTCGATTCTCAATGATCGATATATATGTATATATATCGTACAATGCTTACTCGAATATATATATATATATACGTAGCGGGGTTCCAGTTAAATCAGATTCCCTGGAAGTGAAACTCGTTAGCGAAGTACGTATGCACTTAATTAGACAAAGGAGTATATACGTATATATGTATACAAGTGACAAATGCGTGCTTCGAATATTTTATGTACTGTCCGTATCAGCCTACTGACATTTCAAATCGAGTCCGTTACAGTCTTTTCACTTTCGATCGACGTTAACGAACACACTGCTTTTATCCATGGCTTATTAACTTTCGTGTAACGCATAGTTCACCTGCATACATATGTATATTTAATGTCTGTCTTTTAAAAGAATTTTGCGGGTTTCAGAAAAATCGAATGACAGCTGTTGCATTTTCACGATACGCTCCGAAAGCGAAGTGAATTACGTATTACGATTAAATCGAGTATTTGGACGGCGGTTAATAACGAATATAAATATATATGAGTTATCAGCAAAAAAAGTGCATACATACGCACCGTCGTCACTTGACAATTCGGTGGCGTGGAACGTTAAATAATTCAACGTAACGAGAAAGGCGGTTGGGTACAATAATAATACGAATAAAGTCGGATAAGTTTGTATAAAGGATAATTTGCATGCGAGCGATGCTCTCGGTTCTTTGGTAAACAAGGATCTTTGTTTCGCGAGAGCACGGATGAAAGACGTTAGAATGCAGTGAGAAGGAAAACTAGTGACAAGAACGATGGAGCAACGTACGTTTGGGATTGAGAACAGCTTGATGAATATTCACAGAAATTAAATTAAACAGGTATAAAGAGACGAAGAAGGAGGTAGCTAATTCCGGTGAGTTTTATTCCCACGACAAATAGAACTCTGATTAATCGCAAGCAGACGTAATTCGCTAACCTAAGAAATGACTCGGAGCAATGAAATCATCGTTACCGACCATAGATTCAGGCTTAACGCAAGTCTGGCAAAGGTTAATAATTTATGACTATAATAATGACATATTCAATTTACCATTTTCAATACTGTTTATTGCAAAGTGATCGATGCTACCGGCACGTCCACGAAGAAACGATCCATAGCAATAGTTTCAGCGTATCGGCAACATTTCGTCGTTCTTCACAGTCACAACACAGTTATCACATACACCAAGCTTCTCATTCGCGTAGTTATCGTAGCCGGTACGTACCAGAGTCTTTCGTACGATCCGACCGAGTATTTTTTGTACTCTTAACCCGTGAGTAAGCGCGTGAGCCACCTGAGAGACAGCAACTCAGTGCTTTTCAAATGAAGAAGGAAATCGCGCGATCATTGCCGACTTAACCTCGAGAAACTCAAGAAACAAAAGCCGCACCCGTTTTCTTAGGTTAACTTTACACCGGCTCCATGGGGAACCGAACTGCCGTCGGTTGTGAACCGATGACGATGATAACTATTGCGAAGTCTATCGCAACGTGGGATCTGTTGGTTTTGTTGGTACAGGTGCCTTGACGTGCACTAGTCGTGGAAGACGCGGACAGAGCCAGGAGAAGCCGACGGATTTTCTACCTGGCGGACACCGACTGAACACTCGACTAGCAGGTAAGCGGACGGTTGCCCCTCCACTTCGGTCACTCACCATTCTCCATTCTCTTTTTACTTCACTTCACTGGACTTCAGTCTGCTCCGCGTTCGAACGTACCTTCGATCCTCCTGCTCCTGCTCCTGGTTCTTCCTGTACGCTGTTCACGTTTGCTGATCGGCTATAACGGAAGCTGACGAGTTCGACCTTAATTTTTGGTGGGACCGCTGCTACCAGGAAATTTTTGCTAACAGAAGTCGATGCACATATCTGGTACCAGGTGCCAAATGGCATTATCTCAATTTTTAGTTATTGCAAACTTAGATATCATTCACATTGTTGGGATTTGTTTTACAGGGTGTTGAAGACGACCTTGATGGCTCGCTGTTGTAAAGATATAAGAGCGATTGTGAAACCAATTGGTGGGTATGATAACGGGGGATGATTGGAGATAGGAAATGTTCTTGGAATTAATGATACTGCGGTGGGCGCTGTTTTATTATTCCAGACGGAAGCGAGTCTGGTCGGAGTATAGTCGGATAAATAATTTTGTTGCTTGCTGAAGATATTTTACATATTAATGCGTAAGACGTTAGTCCGTATTCGAGTGGGTTTATTGCGTGTTTATTTACTAACTCTCATTGCGAGTACGGTGGGTATGGTATATGTATACGTATGTTATTCAAATAAATGCTTTCTCATATTACGTATGACGAATAACATTCCTTTTTATGTTTATCGCTGTCACCTTTTACAATCGTATCCTTATGGTAATTTTATGACATTTTTTTTTCGTTAATAGTGAATCTTCGAATGGTGGTAAAATGTCATTATGGGACTATCGTTTGCCTATCGATGGATACGGAGAACCTATGGCCTGTTCGCTTCTAAGAGAAATTGTGAAAGCTACATGTACGCGTTGCATATTTATCTATGATAGTACTGCTTAATGTACTTCCTTTATTTAATCGTGACAAACGTTTAATGTTAGTGGATCTGATTGCGCGTGCACTTTTGATAAAGGCCAATGCAATGGGAGGCTTACGGATCATGATACAGTGAGGTTTAATTAACCAGGAGATTTCATCGAGAATAAACGTGATAAACACAGTGGAAAGTATATTTCGTATATTCGCTGTATTAACAATCACCGCTCATCGCCTTCTTCCAATCTCCACAACTTTCGTTAAAGGATTAAATAATATATTTTATGTAGTCTGATGCGGACCTTTATGTTGGTATTGCCGTTGTATCGTGGAGAAAACGATTTAAACGGTACTTTACATATTTGTACTGTAGACTTTGTTAGTATTCTTTAAATCGACCTAACAACTTGTTCTGGCTCATCATCATCTTCATCTTCATCGTCATGCTCGTCCATTTTGGTAACTTTATCGGTGATGTATTGACTGAAGTCTATTTTGAAGAGTTCCTTGGACGGCGCGCTTTCCAAACGGACTCTGAAACAAGTAACAATGCGTTTGTAGACGCGATATGTCAAGGGACCAACAGAAGGGGCAAAATGTTCTTTTTTTTTAACTGTCGTAACTGTGAGATAAATATTTGGATATATCAAATTGCGCATTGGTGTTTGTTGGAAGGGCGCTATTAGTGTGAGGTAGTACCTGGTAATGAAAGGACCTTCCCGTTTTGGACGTGCCCCATTAACACTTTGTAGTAACAACTTGAAGTTTTCTTCAAGATGCTGTACATCCATGGTGAGCTACAATTCAAATAAACGTAACGATTGATGTATTAAGGTATTTGTAAAGTGTCCCTTTAATTTGGAACAGTTAAATGAGTGTCAATGTATGGTGTATTTACTGTGCCAAATGGAACGTTGATAACACCATAATCCTTTTTATGTTCGTGTGGCGTGGCAGTATACTTAATGCCATTTATGTATTTGTCTACGATGCCAGCTATGTTGGCATCCAAATTACCTAATGTATGGTAAAGTAGAATTAATTAGATTGCCATTTTTTTTAAAGACAATTCAATTCAATTCAATAGGGGGGTTAATACTTGTATTTTGTATCAGTTGTCATATTTAAATACAAACCATTTCTTGCATTCGGAAATTTCTTTTTCATCAAACCTCTAATAATAAGCATTTCAGTCAAAATATTCGGATGGGCCACTACAGTGTCATAATCAGATAGAGACATATTTCCCATCTGAAATAATAAAACCGAATTTCCATATGTATGTGTCACACTAATTATACTAACATAACAGATAGTATGCTACGAAACGAGGGTTCCATAATTACTATAATAGTTTGTATCATTATACCTGAATTTCCTTGATATCCTCTGGTCCAGCAACAGCCGTGGCTCCAGCATCAGTCGCTAGTTTCTGTAATTCTGCAGTTTTACAAAATGCAAGAACAGTTCTTTTTTCTCCGTGATCAAATTTGTGTGGTATGGATACTACTCGGGTGAAGCTACCTACGAGTTTATTTTTCTTCTCTCCCTGATGACAAATAAAATAATTTACCGTGTGAATTATATACAATGTAAATTGCAAATGTTCGAATTTTATTTTGTATCTTCAGGCACTAAACTCTCAAAGAATTACTGACGATCGATAAGTTATATCTTCTTGATAGACATTGCCACTTTATCGACTGCAAAATATCTTTACCAACAGATAATGTTCTTAATAATCTCCACCCGAAATAGGGGAGCATTAGGTCACCATCCCTGATAGCCATAGCCATATCCATATATATGCATATGTGTAGATGTTAATAGTAAAGAAAACAGTGCAGTAGACCGAAGAGCTGTTGTAAAAGCTAACCTCAAATACGATATTGTAATTACAAAGAGGTTTTAGCGTGTGTTAATTTGATATTAATGATAGTGGAAATCAAAGGAATCATTTTAGTATCATATTAAGATTTCTAATGATTTCGTTGTTATTTAACTCAGAATGGCTAGTTGCTCTGAAAACAAGAATGAGAATTTTACTGAGAATGAATCCGAATTTTTCATTAAATTAGAGCAGTTTGATGTATCATCTGATATGAATAGTAACAGTGACTCTGATGAGTCCAAAGGTAGTTTCAATGACATAAAATGGCCTCTTGATCATTCATATGAAAAAGAAACATTATCATGCAAAATACAGGATGATCCACCAGGTTTAAAGGGGCTTCCAAAGTTCTATGGAGATCATGCTGATCCTCTTCCAGTGTGGCAATGTCTTTTCACTGATGATATGATTGCCAAGATCATTACACGTACCAACAACCGAATCTTTAAAATGAGAGAGAATTATGCACAGAAAAGAAAAGCTGATTTAACGGATGTTGATGAAATCGAGCTAAAGGCATTCTTGGGTTTATTGTATTTTAGTTCAATATTGAAATCACAACACGAAGATCTAGATTCTCTTTTTGCTACTGATGGTACTGGGAGAGAAATTTTTCGTGGCACAATGTCTTTAAAGCGACTGCTTAATATACTCTTGTGTCTCATACTTGACGATCCAGAGGATGCAAGTACACCCAACAATAAAAATCCAATAACATGGCTGTTTGACCATCTTGTTTTACACTCACAGCAGTGTTATTGCGTTGGTGAAAATGTCTGTATTGATAAAATGTTAGTAAACTATAGTGGTCGTTTAAAATATCCGTTACAATCAGTACGACACACATCAGCTAAACGTGGCGTAAAAGTATTTGCACTATGTGATGTTCGTACTAGTTACTTTTTAAATGGGTATGTTTATACTGGAAGAAATTGTCATGGACATGGATTATCATCTAAAGATAGATCAGTTAATGACAGAACTCAGTCTGTTTTACGACTCGTACAACCTATAATGGGAACCAATAGAAATGTAACAGCCAGCAAGTGGTTTGGTTCTATCGAAGTAGTAAACGAACTAATGAAGAGAAATCTCACGTACATAGGACCACTCAGGAAAACAATAAAAGAAATACCAGCAGAATTTCTACAAGTGAAAGGGAGAAGCCTAGGCTCTTCGCTTTATATCTTTATGAAAAATGCAGCTCTGCTATCTTTTGTGACAGAAGAAAAAAAAGTCACAATATTAGTTTCTTCAAAGCATCAGACAGAAGAAGAAAATCAAACAGAGAACATCGTTACATTTTATAACAGTACCCGAGATGCTGTGGAAACTATGGAAAATAATTGTTTCGCTTATTCAACTTATAATAGGAGAGCAGCTAGATTAGCCACTGCCGTATTTTATACAGCATTAAATATCGCCGCCATGAACTCTTTCATATTGTACGGCTGTTATGCAAACAATCCTAACACCTCAAGGTACAACTTTATAAAGGGACTTGCTAAGGAACTCGTTGAGCCTCATATGAAGCGGCGAGTACTAAATAAGACACTACCCCGTGAAATTCGGACTTCGATAACAAGGATAATTGGTGAACCAATAATGCATACATCAGCACCTAAAGATAAAGGAAAGGTAATGAAACGTAGAAGATGTCAACTCTGTCCATCTGCGAATGACAAAAAAACTAGTATTCAGTGTTTAACTTGTTCTCGAGCTATGTGCGGTGACTGCCGATATATGATTTGTAAAGAGTGTGGTGTGGAGCTTCAGTAAACTAGACAACTATAAGTGTAGTTAGTATTTGGGTTTATCCCCGATCAAGATCTCATGAGCTAGAAATACATTTTGTATCAGAAATGTTCCTGTAAAATGCAAAGGGTAGCTGTGCAAAACGCTATTTACCAATGCCTCTAGTGTAATATCCGTTTTGCCGTGTCATACATTGTTTTATATTTTAATTTAAAGATATTTAATTGAACTTTGTATGAAACTTAACAAATAAAATATGGATAGTTCTTCATTTAAACATAACTTATACATACCGTTAGATCCAATTCGATAAGAGCATTAATAAATGCATTTGGTTCATTATAAGAAGTGGGATGATGAGTTTCACGATGACATTCTATTGCCTCTTGAAATGAATAAACCTTCCATTGAAAATACTTTCCTGGCCACACATTATCAATTGGTGCTCTTTTCCATGAATCATCTACTATGACAGGCTTCAACTTTGTAGCACGCTTCAATCTGAAAAGAAATTCAATGTGAAGTGAGAATATAGTACAATCGAAAACATTTTTATGTGAAGTAGACGACTAGTCTTATACATACAAATATTCTTTTCTTTGGGTTTGTGGGATAAAACCAATTTTTTCAACTACAGTTTTGACTTTTGCTTTACGTGCTTTTTCCCTTGTGCCCTTTCTTGCAGCGTAGTTACGTATTTGTAATAATATATTGCTGTGATTATTGCAGCCTATATTATATCTCAACACACTTCCGAGTCCTCCAAAGAGTATTCCTAATAAAAATAGAAATACAGTTATAAATAAAACAAATAAAATTATATTATCTAATGTTATACCCGATATTAAAATAATGATTATACATTATTAATTTATAATAAAACTGATGTTATACGAAAATGAAAAAGGCTATGCATTCATGTCCCATTGGTAAAAATATAATCTCTTTGTCGACAACGTATCTTAATTTTAATTACAAATCTATCAAATTATAACTTCTAATAAGTAATCAAAAATACGGTGTGTCATGTTTTTAATTGAAAATTGTTAAGAATATTAAATAATGTTACCCCCCGTCGTGGCTGCCATTTTATTGAAAACAGTGCTGCCAAAACAACGTGACGTATTATTAGAACATAATATCCAAGCGGCATTCAATAGTCCTTCAATATTACAGAATCGTTAAGTAGGGAAGAAAAGCTGTATACAGAGATCAGTAGGGAGATGCACAACGCTACGGTTTTAGGCGATACCAAAAACATGGCGCTAAATCGTAGTGGCGAGTCCGGGAATAGAATTTTGTCATCATCGCCTCCGTTGATAATGCATATCCCGTCGTAGCCAAACTGAACGTGATCACGAACGGGTAGCCTGGCGGGCAGAGATTCTCCACAACTTACAACTGATTCCCAGAGCAACCCTTAAAGAGAGGCCGCTTATCAGATATTGCCTAAATATTTTTTCTTTGTAATCTTAAATTCAATTGTACAGTGTAAGCTCGATAAGATTTACTAAGCCAAAAGCCAGCACCGTATGCCTGCCTGCGTTAAGGAGTGCAGCGATGCGGTGCTAGCTTCCATCATTATTTAACAATAGTTCCAAGCGGAACTGTGGTCCCAACATTGAGTACTAGAGAGAACTATTTCGGAACTGTTTGAAGCACAATCTGAAAACAACACTGAAAGCCAGCTACTTATGCATACCTGCACTAAAGCATATGATGCGACTAGTATCCTTAATAGGTATTTTACCGATGTTACGTACCAGAACTATTGTTAAAACCTACCAGGAACTATAAAACTCCTCGAGAACTATTGAAAAAGCCTATTGTTGAAATATTTTTAAGAGATTTTAAAAAAGTGCGGTGCTGGAGCTGACACCCGTGTAGCATCTCAATTTTGAACAATGTTTCAACAATAAGCTTTTTTAAGAATTCTAGGAGAGTTCTATAGTTCCTGATAGGTTTTAACAATAGTTCTACTACGCAATACCGTTAAAATACGTACTTTCCAAAAATTGAGGTGGCAGCCGTGGTCGATTTTTATTAGGGCTACTGGGAAGTTAATTAAGGTCATAGCAGTCTCTTGTGCTTACCCCTACCCTTATCTGTCTTTTCCTTATCAATTATTATTCTTTCCATAAATTCACTTTATTACTTAACATTTATATAAAATACTTAGCGCAATACACTACACACAATTATTTTACATGTATTTATACGCTGGTATAATTCATTCGATTATATTAGATTGGTTATATTCGATTCACGGTCACAAGGCGACTCCGGCTACCGATACAGATAACGTT